AACAAAACAAAAAACAAAACACAGTTCACTATGCTTCAGTTATGAATGAACACAGTGAGTGATCGGTAGGGATCACTCGTGTTCATTCAGGAAAGGGCTGATAAATGTGACATATTTACTTGACTCTACCCCACTCTCCAGCATGAAAGATCCTATTGTGTGCTTGCAGCTGCTGGTGAGGAGAGGAGGGAAGCAGGCAGCACTGTGGGGTGGGGGGCCTGGGTAGCAGAGGGAAACGTATAGGGCACAGGAAGGGTGATGGGTTTGGAGCAGGGGGGGGGGGTCTATTACTGGAACTGATCCCCTGTATGGCTCTGTCTGCAGCAGCTGAAAGCCATCGGGAGGGAAAGGAGAAGAAGCCAGCTTTCACCTGCGAGGGAGCCATACAGGAGATCGGTGCCAGTAATAGCCCACCCACTGTGTTGATCACCCTCCCTGCCCACATCAGATTCACCCAGTTGCCTGGGCCCGTACAGTACTGGTGGTACCCCCTTATCCATGGCCCTGCCTCTAGTAACGTTTTAGATTTACCCTCACTTTCTGTCTTGGTGACAATGGTTTCAGGACAACAGAGAGGTGAATCTCTCCAGCAAGGGGTCAGACAGCAATACAAACCTGACAGAGGGTCTAAAAAATTGCCTTGCATGGCTGCCTGCTCCACATTTTTGATGAGTACAATTGGTATGTATGTAAAACATGTACAATAATTATCAGATATTTGGACAATTAAAGCTGTCCATACATCAGATATAAATATTCTGATTAAACAGCAAAAAATACCAAATATATTCTTAAATGCTACTAGTGTGACTGGATAAATCTTGGTGATGTAGGTTCAATAGCAGCTGGAAAACTAGGGCTTCCTTCCCAGGACGGGTTAATGGTGTATATCACATCAACGCTCTTTGTCTGACTCTGGAAGAGTACAGTGGACTGTCCCTTCTCCTTCCTCTGGCACTGTAGACCGCATTTAAACTTTACTGAAGTTGTTGCACAGTCACTGCTCTGCAGAGTGAGGATTGTGTGTCTATGGAGTTACAGACAGGAAGCCTGGGATGGGCTTGGCTCAATCTGGATTTCAGTCCATGCCTGACATACTGTTTACTCCAGAATATGGAGAAGCAAAAGTAGGCTAGCTGCATGTCAGCAGCCAAGCAGTCACATCACCCAACATGCTCGTTCATGTAATACTGACTTCTGTTTGCCAAGAAACTGATGCTGCAGTGCAAACATACAGTCATTCAAGGGGAAAGGATATCCAAACCATGATGTTGGCACAGGGATCAAAGTTTTTGCTTTGGCTGGACAGAATTTTTCTAAGGATTTGTGGAGCAGTGAAGCCTATACATTTGTCCATCCTGCTGCCTGCGGTCACTGTGATTATTTGGCTGGAGAGCTACATCTCTGCATTCCTCTCCTTCAGCGTATGACAGAGTGCACTATGTAAAATATCTGCTATTAGGTGTAAGGAGCATGGGCAGGCATGTGATAGGGAGAGGGAAATTTAGCTGCAGAGAACATGTGTTGTATATAATACTTGCTGTGTATACCACATTACTTCGGAACATGTAACTCACTAATTCATAGGTTGAAAGACTTTGGGATCTATTTATATTATATTCAAAGAATGAAAGGCACACGATTTCTCTCAGCAATCACAAATTCTGACCGTATTTTGCTTCATATGTTGCTTTCCTATGATCATCAGCTCCATCTGGTGGCCATAATGCAGTATTTTCCCAACTGTATGTCAGGAAAGATCATAGGATATCAACCTATTATGTAGAATACGGTGACAACTGGGCAAATGTTTTCGACATTCATTCAGCATTTTTATAGGCCCTCTTGCATTCTGCAGCCAAAAAAAAAACAAACAAACATATTGTATCCTCAGAACTCTACACTTGTGGTTGACAGTAAAAATACCTTTTGAAATGCAGTCCAATTTGCTCTATCAGGTAGAAAATGCTAAATCCTAAATTGATCTTAAAAAGTAGAGGTTACTCTCCTGAAGAATATTTTACAAGTAGTTATTTATACTTTGTATGTTTAGAAATACATTTATTAAAAATAAATCTACTTTGTTAGAACCAGCTTGTATGGACATTCTTTTAACACCTTTTATATTATGGAAACCTTTATATGATATACAGTATTTATATTTGGGAACAGAAGATATGTATGCAAACATATCAAGTCTTCCCTCTAAATATTTATGCAGTAAAGTTACTACAGCGCTTTGATTAAAGTGTATGTGCACCTCAACATTGAACTTTTCTTATTTACTCCCCTTTCATCTGTTTAATATATTGTCAGAAGCATTTTGTTATATCTGTTTGATAAGCGCAAAAAAAAAAACTGTTTTGTCAGACATTTAAATCTGTCCTGTATCTCCTGCAGACTTCCTGTGGTATCTCAAAGAAACCTCCTAGTTCTTATCTTGGACTATGGTTGCCAACCTCCAGAAATGAAACTGACTGACACGGCACCAAAACTTTACTGACAGAACCACCTTTCTTACTGACAGTTTTCATTGCAAATATCAATATTTTAAGCTACAAACATGTAGCTAGTGCTATTAGCAATGTGCTTAAAGTGTTATTAACCCAGGACCCTGCATTCACTATATCTGGTCTCCCACAGTACACAGAAGATGGAAGTGAAATTATTTTAGTAAATATAAACTGCTAAATACCTTTTCTAATCAGCAGTTAGAACAGTCTTGTGACTTCTGTCAGTATCCAGCAGAGCACTGGTTAAAGCTTGCAAGAGAAGTTTTAATTTTGCTCTAGGAGGATGAAAAAACCCCTGACCACTGTCTGGACAGTGCTAATTGGCCCTGTGCTGATCACATGCACTCTCCAAGAAAAAAAATAAAAAAGCCTCTCTAGCAATACACACCAGACTAAGCATGTGCAGAGTCACTCCACACAATGTCTTATCAGGAGATAAGAGGGGGACACTGGAAGACGGGGAGGATCAGAGACGGCAGGATCAAATGGGCTTTTACACAATACAGAGGATTAAGCCCTTAGTTTCCACAGTGAGGTATAACAAGCATGCTTTACTGCATATACAGACTGATTGTACTGTGTTGTGGGTTTAGCAACACTTTAAGGTATAACAAAAAACACATTTCTCCTTTTACTTGAAGGTTAGGTTAAAATTAATCTGGCAGATTAATTAAACTCTGCAGGCCCTGATGTAATGGGGACACTATGGACTCTGATGTAAAGGGGAGCTCTGAAGACTCTAATGTAGGAGGGAATGCTGTGGATTGGTGTAAAGGGAAACACTGATGTAAGGGGATCTCTGGTCACCAGAGCCCCCCCCCCTTCCCCAAACACACACAGGAGTCCAGTCCACAGAACTCCCCTTTTATATCAGTTCACAGCGTTTTCCCTTACATCACACTCAACAGACTTCCCCTTTATTTCACAGTCCACAAAGTTCTTCCTGACAGTATAAGGGGGAACTCTGCAGACTCTGATGTAAAGGAGAACACTGCAGATCAAGGGAAACTTTGAAGTAAGGTAATCTCTGGTCACCAACCCCCCCCCCCCCCCCCACAACAGAGTCCACAGCGCTCCCCTTTACATCAGCGTTTCCAATTTCCACTTTTACAATAGGATCTGCATTATTTCCCTTTCCATAAGAGCTGGAGTCAGTTGCGCTGACTCTGATGTAAAGGGGAACTCTGAGGACTCTGATTTAATGGGGAACCCCAGGAACTCTGAGGTTGGGTTGACTCTGACCACATACCAGCTTATGAAGAGTGAATACACTAACATACTGGGGGGTTACTGATATAAGGGGGAAACTTTTTATCAGTGTACCCCCTAACCTTAGTGTATTATTTACTCCCTCATACATCAGTGGCCCTCCCCACCCCCCCCCAGACTTTGTGTCACCTGTCTGTCTGGAAGCTGTCACTGAGCTGACCTCCTCCAAGCTCCTCTATTTCTTGCTCGTATGCAGCAGAGGCAAGCAGTCAAAAACAGTTGGAGAGGCTTGGCTCTGGCGGCTCCTCTTTACCACCTCCTGTCAAGTTTGTCTTCTTTACCTGTAAAGAAGTATCAAAGTCTGGCGCTACTGTCTTCGGAGGATGACACTCAGCACTCTTATTAGAATGATTCCAAACTCCTGCTGCTCTTTAATCTTAGGTTTACATTTGTGCAGGTTTGCGGCCTGCGTTTGTGTGGACACGGCAGCCCATTCATTTTAGTGGGCTGCCATGCCTGCATTTCATGCAAAAAACGATGGACATTTCTATTAAACCTGATGCTGCTCCACAGCATCTATCATTGCTAAGGTTTATGGGCATCATTACCAAGTGGCATAGGAGTTTAGCTCCTACAAATGAATCGTATTGGTACCAAAGGTGAGCGAAGAACAGTCAGCTATTGGTCCAATGGAACTCTGCTATTGGTTGTTCGGTTTGTCTCCTTTTCTCCTCCAGAGTCCTCCAGTGACAGTCCCGAGTCCTCCCGCTCCTGAGTCCTGTGCTCCGGCTCCCCCTCCTGTCTCGGCTGCTGTGATTCATAAAAGGCCCTATGATGTCACTGCACGCCCGCCTGATTTCAGACCTGCAAATAAATCATCTGGACAGCTTGTAAATTGGCAGATATTTACAAATTGCCGATAAATAGTACTGACAATTTGCAACGTCTGTCTTGGATTACTGGGTGATTAGGCTTTATGTTGAAGAGATTTGAGAGTTGAAGTGGCTGAGTAGTTTAGCAAAAACAGTGGGTCAGGGCTGACACTACTCAGCCTACAAAAAGGTTGTTCATTGTCAGCCCCAACAGGATTTAGGAACTGAGTGTATTTCTGGCATATCATAGATTATATGTAAATAGGTTTTTATATTATTGCTGTGATTATGTATTATATGTACTGTATACATATTCTGAAATAAATAAATATGATCCAACATAACCATTGCATTTATTTAATGACAGGATGGCATTTCATGCTGAAAAACTGAAACACCCAGGAGGATGGGAAGTCTGGAAAATTCAGATTTTGAGGAGTTCCCTCCCCCTCCACCTGAAGGTAAAATGAGCTCTAAAATGTTTATTCATTATTTAAATACACCAGCACTTCTATTCTTATGTTTGGACTAAACGCAAGATTAAGTCGTTGGATCTAACAGAATATTTATTTGAAGTTAAAATATTTATTTGAAATATCTCTAAAATAATGAATGCATTTGTGCATTGTTAATCTGCACTAAGTATCTTTGTCTTCTTCTGCCAGAAAACAGGAATTGCTTATTTTATTTCTGTTTTTCAGGTTATATGTGGGTATTTACTGTCAGGCTTAGTCAGTGAGGCAAAATAGGACCAAGCAAAGCATAGTAACTCACAACTACCAATTCTAAATGTATTCTGTGGGTTCCTGAACTTTGCTTGTAATTTGCTATTGTCAAAATTTACTGAAAAAAAAAATCAAAAATCAGTGACCAATATAGCCACCTTTCTTTTCAATAACAGTCACAAGCCTTCCATTCATGGAGTCTGTCAGTTTCTTGATCTGTTGATAATCAACTTTTTGTGCAGCAGCAATTGCAGCCTCTCAGATACTGTTCAGATAGGTGTGCTCTTTTCCTTCACCGTAAATCTCCCGTTTACAAAGGGCCCACAAGTTCTCAATAGGGTTTAGGTCAGGTATGGAAGAGGGCCATGTCATTATTCTTTCATGTTTTAAGGCCTTTATTGGCTAGCCACGCAGTGGAATATTTTGATGCATGCGATGGAGCATGGTCTTGCATAAATATCATGGTCTTCTTGAAAGATGCAAACTTTATTCTGTACCACTGCTTGAAGAAAGTGACTTATAAAAGCTGGCAATAGGATTGGGAGTTGATTTTGAGTCCATCTTTAACCCGAAAAGGTCAAACTAGTGTTTCATGTGACCCTGTTGACTAATTGCAACAAAATGTTTGATGATTCTGTGATCGTGCCCCAATATCTTAGCCATTTCAAGAGTGGTGCATCGCTCTGAAAGACTTTTTACAATTTTTGACTTTTCAGAGTCAGTTAAACCTCTTTTTTGGCCTATTTTGCCTGAGGAAAAAAATCTGCCTAATAATCACACACCTTTTTATATATAGTATCTCCTTAGACCACATCCTTGCTCAGGGCTTGAAATTTCCACTCGCCTGCTCGCATTGGTGAGTGGAAATTATAGTGGGGGCAAGTGTGTCCTCAGGGCTGTCTTGCTGAGGAGGCTCGGAACGCAGGGCCTGATCTGTCACTCGCACTGGGAGTCGTCAAACTACTAAATAGTTAAGCAAAATGAAAGAAAGGAAGGCGTGTGTGCTGTGCTCTCTGCCTCCCCCTAGAGTGCAGTTCCCAGATCTGAGTGAAGGTAACGAACTACTGCAAATTTTTATAGGACTGTATGTGTGTGTGTATTTGTATGTATGTTCATGTATCTGTGTGTGTGTATGTATGTACGTGTGTATCTGTACATGTGTCTGCGTGTATGTACATGTATGTGTATGTGTACGTGTTTGTGTATATGTACATGTGTCTGTGTGTATGTACATGTGTCTGTGCGTGTGTATTTCTGTGTGTGTGTGTGTGTGTACAGGTGTCTGTTTGTTTGTGTGTATGTACATGTGTCTGTATGTAAACCTACATGTATGAGCGGTTTGGTCAGGTTCAGGATTATGTGGTTATTATGGGTGGTAGAGCATGGAGCATTTGAGGTATTGCTGGGTTGGATAGTAGGTAGGATATGCTTGGTAGAGTTATGGTTTTGTGAGTGAAAGATTATGGGGGGGTTATGGTTGTATGCGGTGCATGGTCTAAGTATGATGGAGTGTTTAGGGGGACATTGGAGGCCCTGATGTAATGTGGGGGGACTCTGGGGACCCTGATGTAATGTGGGTAACATTTAACAGTGTCATTTCATGAAATAATTTATGAGGGCGTGTTTAGGGGCGGAATTTGGGGTGTAGAAGGGTAGGGGTTGGGTGGGGCAACTGGTGGCGAGTAATTCTTAAGGCCTGGCTAGTAGCTCAGGACTTGAAATTTTAAGCCCTGGCTCATTACACAAATACGCATCACCTGATATGCCTCGATCCAATAAGCATTCAAGTTTATACAACTTGGAGTTGGACAATATGCATAAAAATTATGATTTGGTCAAAATACCCACTTGACTAATAATTGTGCACACAGTGCATATGGAATTATGTGCTAAAGAAATTGTAATTCTGTCCAGCCAGTCTTGTGATTTACCATACTGCAATGCCAGAAATATTCTGTACCTCACTATGTCCTGAGTCAACTTTAGTTCATCCAGAACAGTCTCCTCAATCATTGGGCAAAGATGATAATGCTGATGTGTTTTTTTGGGTGAACAGGTGTCATGGGGGTTGCAAAGCTGAACCAGATGAATAGAATTGCAAATCTCTTGGCATATGAAATGGTTAGCTTGTGTATTTCAACTGTCTATTTAGCCATTTGCCTGAAATTCCACTTTAAATTTTACCCCAGAAAAATATCAAAAAGCAGATGAAAAAAGGCTTCGGTTTAGATAGTGTGGTGGAGTTTTTGTCAGGTTTTTCATTAAAGTGTTACTAAACCCAGGACCCTGCATTCACTATATCTGGTCTCCCACAGTACACAAAACATGGAAATGCAATTAGTTTAGTAAATATGAACTGCTAAATACCTTTTCTTATCAGCAGTATATAGCAGTCTTGTGACTTCTACCAGTGTCCAGCTGAGCACTGATTAAAGCTTGTAAGAGGAGTTATTTTCTGACTGTCCTATGAGGCTGCATAACCCCTGACCCTCTGTCTGGACAGTACTGAAGGTCCTGTGCTGATGAAATGCACCCTCCCAAAGAAAAAAAAAATAAACCTCTCTAGTCATACACACTAAACTGAGCATGTGTAAAGTGACTCTTAGAGCTCTGTACTATAAGCAGATGGATTAGGAACCGTAGGAGAAGGGGAGGATCAGAGAAGACAGGATCAAACAGCCTTTTTACACAGTGTGAAGGATTAACCCATTAGATTCCACAGTGAGTATAACCAGCATGCTTTACTGCATATACAGACTGATTTTACTGTTGTGGGTTTAGTAACACTTTAACAAAATGATTATTGGCTGTATGCTTGTTAGAAAGACAAGAATTGCCAACAGAGGCCACATCAAGTACACAGGGTAAATATGTAGACAATGGCTGGTGAGACAACAAAAATACAGCCAAACAAGGTGCATTTAAAGAATGTTCATAATAAAACCAAAACAGAACAGAATCAGAAACCGAACGCTGCCTTGTGAAAACCGGTATAAGAGACACATATTCAAATAAAAGACCGATATGTAGATATCAGTGAAGCTTCTCCAAAAAGAAAAACGAGAAGCCCAGTTGACTAAAGGCTGCCAATACCTGTAGATAACATACCAGTAAAGGAAAACGATCAGAGGGGTACAGAAAAAAAGGGGGGGGGGGAGTAGGGCTAGAAAAAAAAAAAGGGGGGGGGGGGGGAGTCCCAGGGGGTCTTGATAGCCAACTAAATTAAATGGTTAGAAGAAGTTGGCTCTGTCTGGTTTTTTGTTCTTCCTGTCCCAATGAAACCCTTCCACATCATTTTTTGTCTTGATGTCACCAGGACAGGTAGTGAGGGACAGGACTGAAAACTTGATTGACTCTCCCCTACTCCACTAGTAACCACAACTGGTTACAGTGGGATAATAATGCAGTCAATTTCGTGCAGTGCCAGATTAAACTCTGTGCAGGCTCCTAGGTAGTCAAAACCTTGCCCCCCACCCCCCCCCCCCCCCACGGAGGTTTCATGTGCACGCCCTCTAGTGGAATAACATTGAACAAAGTAGTGTGCATGTCAGATGCTAGATGGAGATGACCATCACTAATGTACATTACTCATACGTAAGTTGCACCAACATTTTTTTACAAACTGACAGTTGAATGATGAGATTTTAAGAGACAAACTGTAATGTGAAAATGATGTCTTTGGTCTATGTACCTAATTTGTTATTGGGTACATTACATTAAGACTGTATTTTTCTATTGAGTCTTTCATGTACGTTTTTGGTTCTTTGAGTTGGTTCAAGTTTTTCTATCTTTTTTTGTAAAGCTTCATTGTAATTTTCTTTCAAGGTCAAATCAATATTATTTTGATGCGTTGTCTTTGGGCCCGGTAAATGGCGTGGAGCTCATAGGCCAGTGCCTACTCTGCCTGTTTGGTAATTCAGCACTGATTACACGTATCTAAATACAAACTGATTAGTTACTGGAGGGGGACCACCAGTATCAGCGAGAGCTCTTCCACTGTGTGATGCAGTACTGTCAGTCTAACTTGAGGAAACATCCTTGTAGGATGAAAAAGCACAGAGAAAAAGAAGAGTGCTATACCTATAGTTTCTTGAAAGCCTCATTACTCCAGAGTCTCATGATTTCTCAGCCTGATGCAAGCAGTGAGCTGGCTCTTTGAGAAGGTCCGAATAATATAAAAATCCCTTGATGGGTGGATTTCAATCTGGAAGAATAGACATTCCTGGGCAGGTTGCATTGGCATGAAGAGTTCCCAAAATAATGCTCACGTGTGTTGATAAGCCTCCATGACTGAAGCCACTAAAATCCAGTGAATGAAAGGGGCAGTCAAGGGACAGTAGCCATGGAGAGAGGAAAGTGCTAGATGATGCTGAATGTCCTCCAGCCAGGAAATGATATGTGCTGTACCTGGCTTGCTCCTCTAGTGCACACTGTTAGAAGCAGTGAAATCGGAGTAAGCAGTGTCAGTATAGGAGAGGAGCCTGTATCTTGCAAGACTGAAGGTAAGGCTGGAATTAAGCTTTAAAGTGACTAGAGTTCATGCACACTGCTTTTACTGCTCATTCTAAGAAAAACATAGGGGCTGAACGTTCAGGCCTAGCTTTGACCCTTCCCTTTCCCTGATTTCATGATGTGTTTGCTAGATGTCTAGTGTTTAAATCTAACTTTAGTACACCTTCTGTTCTAGAGCCAGTTAAGTGTAAAAGTCTGCTTGTTTTTCAATGGTGCTTTCCGCC